AGGAAAACGCAGTGCCTGTATCTCGAGTGCGGTGTCTGTATCTTCTTCTATAGCAATATTTTCAAGTATTTGTTGGTCAAGGCCTTTAAGCATTTGTTTACTTATTTTGAGCTTGTATTTGAAAACAGTTTGAAAGAGCTATAGCAAAATCTAAATGTTGCTTATGACACCTGATTTGTTTGCATGCTTTTGCGAAGAGCAGTAGTGTGTTGGCTTCTGAACTGTCTAACTTGTGAATCGCTTAACCAAAAATACCTAGGTGCTTTGCATCAGAGGGCTTTATATAGCTTCTGGTTAGTCCAGGGGAAGCTTGTCTTCCATCATGATGTACTGGGATTAGCGTTTCCAGCTGCAGTGTGCAGCGCTCTTTTCAAAAGCATCATGTCTGACTAATGGACGAGTGAGCTGGAGGTGGCAGGCGTACTCAGTTTAATCAGTTTAACCCTTCGTTTAAAGTGAAATGGTTGAGTGCTCCTAAGTGTGCCTCCCTGTTGCAAAGTAGGGAATTGCCCTTTCCCGAGCCTGCCCGCAGGAATTGATCACGTGCGGAGCTTGAGACGCAAGGCGTCTCATCTCGGCGGGGTTCGCTTCACAGAGGAAAGCGTTAATACATCTTAAGCCCTGAAGCTGCCATCTTTCCTGCAACAGAAGCCTTGATGTTAAATCTCAGACATTAATAATGGGCTGAGGTAGCCTTAGTACAACTGTGGCTTGAATTGGATTAGCTTGGAGAAGCTGAGTTGTAAAGGGTGCTGTTTCTTTCCAGATGTCTCTGCTCTAACAGCAGAGGATAATGGCAAATAATACAAGCTAAGTAAATAGCCTGTAACTTCATGTAGATTTTCATCTTTCCTGCTGTAGTCCACTGGGATAGTTTATCTTAAATAGAAGACTGGAATTAGCTGAGCTGCCCTGCTGGCTCCCTTGTTTGGTGTTATTAAATTGTATTATTTTTGGCCCACACTGGAAAGTTGCTGTCTTGCCTGTCTGTTTGCTCTGATAACAAATCAATGTTTATGATTTTCATAGCTCTGGGATATTGACTTGTATCTGACTTGATTTAGTTAAGTCATGGCTCGTCAGGACAAAGTGGGGAATACGGCTTCTCGACAGAATACTTTGATTGTAACTTTCCAATAAACTTGCAATTTTTTTTCTTGATCAGAAATTCTTTAAGTTTTCTAATTCTTTCTGAAGTCTCTGAATTCAGTGTGTGGTGTTTTTTGTCTGTTTTTGTTTCTTTAACACAACTGTTGCTTAATCTCACCCGTTTTTTTTTCTGGGTCCCGATAGTAGCATTTAGGTAGTATGTTCCAGATAATCCCTTGTCAGACACAGATTTACTTAACTGGAAGAGCTGACAATGAGTAGGTGTCTAGAGTCCAGTCAAGCAAATAGATTGTTGCTGAGGAAACAGGAGGCTGAGAACAAAGGAAGCGTGCCCTGGTGAATCAGCACGCTTCTGGATAGTGATGCAGGTGAACTTCTAGAGCTGAAATTGTTCTAACGAAAAATGATGATTTCTTTTAATCTAATGGGAGTTCTCCTGACATATGCCGGGCTGGAGGCTTTGAGTTGTTAGCTTTGCTGATGGAAGGCTATGTATCTGTTTTCCTCTATGCCCTGCTTGTTTGAAAGTACTTAAATAGGTGAGCCTTCTCCATCCCCTCTAAACAGGGCGGGTGCCAGGCAGGGAGGTCTCCATAGCCTCTGAGATGGTTCTTCTGCCTCTCCTAGGATGTTTGATGTTGGTGGCCAGCGGTCAGAGCGGAAGAAGTGGATCCACTGCTTTGAAGGTGTGACAGCAATTATCTTCTGTGTGGCCCTCAGCGATTACGACCTTGTCTTGGCCGAGGATGAGGAGATGGTATGTTACTGAGGAGTTACTAATGTCTGGCTGCGTTGCCCTCGGGAGAAGTGAGGTGGAAGCTAGTTAGGCCCCTGCAAGTAGGACAGAGGCTGATGTCTCTCTTGCTTTGTTTGCTTTCTTGGTTCTTTGAAATGCTGTTACGGGGCAATTGTTAATTCTTAAGTGATCTGGCAGGAAAGCTGTAAAGAGTACTTTCTTACAGCAGCCTGCAGTGCCTTGCCCCAGAAACTGATAAGTGTAATGCAGAAATGAGATTTTTCTTAGGGCCTGTTTACAGGAAGGTGTCTAGCGGTGCTGTCACTGCAGCCTGTTCCATTAGGTAGGAGCACCTCCTTGGAGGAACAAACCCATCCAGGGAAAGTTATAGGATGGGGAGCAAACTGACCTCTGCTCAGGGTCATGGCAATGCTCTTCCTGATGAAGTAGCAGCCGTGATGTCTGTGGTACATGTTCAGACACTTCGGTCTGGCTCTTGTAATGAAGCCTGTCTGTTCCTCCACCCCATCTTCCTCCAATAACTTTGGAAGGATGCATCACTGTTTTCACTTTGCTTTTCAGAACCGGATGCATGAGAGTATGAAACTCTTTGACAGCATTTGTAACAACAAATGGTTTACAGACACGTCAATCATTCTCTTCTTGAACAAGAAGGACCTGTTTGAAGAAAAGATTAAGAAAAGCCCCCTAACAATCTGTTATCCGGAGTACACAGGTAAGGTTGGGCTCATGGAACTGCATTTTATTTGTATCACTGGGACCAGGAATGAGTCAGTTAAAGCCTGCATAATCTAAGATAAATTAAAGGCTCGTCTTCCTCCTTATTCCCTTAACTCTGTCCCTTGGACTACATCTTAGGGCTGGCTGTCCAGTGAGTTGATAGTGCTGTTTCTCAGCAAGGATGTGGTCTTGTATGTCTGTGGTTCAGAATGGCATTTGTTCACGTGTTTTATGGCCTGGAATATGAGTAGCAAAGACATTTAACATTTGCACTTAAGCAAACTGGGGTCACTCTGCATTTTGTGCATCTTATTAGGGCGATGCTTTAATTAAACCTCAATTTTTGAGGCTTTGAAACTTATCCAGGTCATGGCTAAGGCACTGGTTCAACCTAGTGTGTCTGTGTTTCAGCAATAGTTTGATTTGCAGCCAGTCCCTGTTGTGGCCTGCGCAGGGATGGTGCTTTCCTAGTCGATGCTTGAGGCATTTAGATTTTTGAAATGGTCCCTCCTTCAAACCTGTTTATTTCTATTGTTTGTCACTCTTCTGATGCCAGCTGCATGTTTCTAGCATGAGGCGTTATTGTTGCCAGTGTACAACGTTCCCTTTTAGATCTCCAAATTGCTTATGGAGGTGTTGATTCCCATCTCTAGGCAGGGAGGCTGCAGTGGGGCGAAGTCGGTGCGCTGCAGAAGTGAATGACTCGTCCAAGGTCATTGGCCAGGCCGGAAGCTGGGAATAGAATTCAGATTTGCGAGAAAGGGTTAATGGTGGATTTGGATTTGTAGCTGGATAAGGCAGATGGTTGCAAGCAGCTTAATATGTACTTAAAAGATCTGTGTCGAAACTCTCTGCTGTGAGCTGCTGGCCGAAGTAAGGGATCTTATCTTTTTCAGGCTCCAACACGTATGAGGAAGCAGCTGCATACATCCAGTGTCAGTTTGAAGATCTGAACCGAAGAAAAGACACCAAGGAGATCTACACACACTTCACCTGTGCCACTGACACTAAGAATGTGCAGTTTGTGTTTGATGCTGTTACAGATGTTATCATTAAAAACAACCTGAAGGAATGTGGACTCTATTGAGGAGGGGTAGGGGAAGAAGGTAAAACTGAGCTGCTTGGCTGTTCGTAAAGTTTAAGCATTGCACACCAGCTCGGTCTGACTTTGCCTTGTACCTCACTAATGCTCAGTGTTCTCTTTTCAGTTTTATGATGTCGCGTTTTGAGAACCAGACTCTTTGCTGCCTCATGGGGACAGCTGCAAGCATGAACAGGACCAGGGAAACGAAAACAGCATGCAGAATCGTTGCATTCTTTAGCACAATCTTCTGTATTAGGGACTTTTTTATTGATATGGGATGTTGAAGTTAGATCAAAATGGAACAACTGTTAGTGTGACTAGATCATCCTGGCATCGTTTGGATGACATACTGTCAAATGTGTACAGCTGTTGTGAAGTTGAGGTGCTGGATTCCAGACCTTCAATATGTAGCTTTCTCTCTTTGGTTAACAAGCCACCACTAGTCTGTTTTTAAGGTTTTTTCCATCAAGAAAACTATAACTTTACTAAATTTTATTTCTTTATTTGCAAACAAATCTTGTTTTAAAAATAAAAACAAACAAAAAAAATCACTTAACTATGCACATGTGACCAGATCATGCAGAAAGTATTCCTCTTAGCAGGAACTCTTTGTTTTTAACACTTGGTATGGTCAGAATTTAATACTTCTGCAACTACTTAAAGGATCCTTAGAGCTCTTATGGTGATAGCTTCGGCTTTTTCTGATGTGTAATTTGTTACCATCCTGCTACAAATACCATAAGGCTTTTGAAAGAAGCTTCTGTAGCAGGATTTAAAAAAGTCTTTTTAGCTTGTGGTTGGGGGTGAACGTGGTTTATACTGATATCCAAATTGACATTTATACTGGCGTGGTAAGCATAAGGCCACCTTCTTGGTGAATGTGTACCTGGGCTGTGTCAGTTGGAGAGATGAAATGCGGAGCTCCAAACTGGATGGAAAATATGTGCTGCTACAGAGCTACTTAATCAGCCACTTGGATTCTAGTACGTTTTTGGTCTAAACCAGTGGGCAATTTTGTAAAGGGTACACCTCGTTCTGCGTTTACCATGGCCTTTTCTGTTCAGAGACTTCTAAACTGTATTGACAGCATGCCTTTACTTTGTATATGTGGTGCCAAATTCCTGTTTGCCATTGTTCTTACTGTAGTAATGTTCATAACCAGTCAGTACATTCCTTTGCTGAACCATTGCATTGAGACTCTTTTCCCAGTTTGTCATGTGTACAGTTTCAATCTGTTATAGTTGTTGGCAGTATTAAAATGGTGAGTAAACAGTTTAGCCTTTTCCCTAGTTTATTCTTAACTCTTCCAGAAATATTTTCCCCCCCCCCCCCCCCCCTTCTGTAGACTTTGTCAGCCTGGTTGGAGAAAGAAGGTAGCAGCTTAATGGAGAGTGGGCGTAATTAACGGGACAGGCTAAGGAAGGTTCCTCATGCTTTATAATACGTGACTGTTGGTACTGTGTGTGCAGCCAGTTCTGCTGCTTCCAAAGACTTGGGTTGTGCTGGCACAGATGGAAAACGGCGGACATCCAGTCGTTCATCAGGATTATTGGCCGTTGGTTAGCTTGATACTTATGAATAGCACAAGTCTTATTTCATATTTCAAATAGAAAAATGACTGCTCTGGACTGCAGTTACATGAAGCAGAGGTAACCCATCTTCAAAGACGCTTGCCTTGAAATATAGCACTGCAAGAATGATATATTTCAGGGATGCTTCTAGGTGTTGTCAGTGTCTGCCCCATAGTATTTGTAGAATTTCTAATGTAGGGCTACAGTGCTCAGTAGCTATAGAGAGCATATGCATTCTGGATTTTTTTCCCACGTTGCCTGGAGCTCTATTGACTGTCCAGCAGTTTCCTTTTAGACAGACCTTGAGGCTTTACTTCACCTGCATAGTAATATGTGGAAGAGTTCACCTTGTCCTTTAGAATAAATTCATGCAAAACTTGCATAATGGTGGTATGCATCAGCACAGTGCTTCCTGAGTGTGTATTGGAGTCGCACTAGAGGCGCAGCCTTGCAAGGGGCCGAGCACATTTGTTTTTCTCATTGAGCTGAGAAGGTGCTTTGGCTGCTCTCTGCTCCTAAACAGGATCGCATTTCAGTCAGTGGTGACCTGGCGTGCCTGGCACCTTTGCATCCATCCAGATCTGGTGCTTGGGAAGCCAGTGGTGGCCCTGCTCTGTTCTGCACATGGGCCACTGGTTGATCTCAGCGGGGGATCCATATGTGTGCTGACTGTGGAATGTGGCTCAGGGCAAAGAATGTAAAGTATTCCTTGATCCAAGGTTTTGGACACAAGGGGCTTGGAAACAATCGTGGAGAAAGCGAATGGGCAGTAATGATAGACATCCATTTCAAGCACATTTCTTTATTTTCTTTCTCCTACAGTTAAATGAGCTGTATGTGATTCTCTGCAGTAAACACTGAGAAGATACAAGGCTTCTTGTCTACAACAACAGTACAGGTTTATTTACAAACAGTAAAGAGCAAATACAGCTCTAAATAGCAGAATGAGAATCTTTCAAATAACCATTTCCTCTTTATCTGACCCTGTTCCTCTTCTCTAGGTGCGATGAAGTCTCTAGACCTTAATGCATGTGTTCCTTTTTGCCTGCTGCTGGGACTTTGCACCTCTTGGCGGTGAAGCAACATGACTAGTGGTCTCAGGAGCAGGCAAACCACTGAGCTGGGATCTGTGCCGCTACCTAGGGTGGGGGAACAGGCACAGGGAGAGTGGAGAGAGAACGGGTCTGTACAGAGAAAGGTGGCTACTAGAAATAGGCCCTCAGCTACTTAAGGCTGTTTGGGGGCAGATTGCACAATTGCAGGGATCTCCAGTTGTTAACTTATTTTCCAAGGGAAAATTTTCTGAGGAATTAAGTCTTGAGGCTTATTTACAGCAGGGGGGAAAAAAAAAATTCTCTCTCAAAAGGACTGAGGTTGGTTACCAGGAATTGACTCCTAGATAACTGGGCTTTGTCTCAGCATCCAGCTTCCCCAGAAACTGCCCATTGCAGTCCAGTTAAGCTTTGACGAGTTGGAAGAAAACAGACGTGGCCCTGCAGAGGGGAAGGGCAGGGGCCTTGTCTTTCTCTGGGTCCTGCAGAAGCATTACTTTGGGGTTTTCCTGTGTAATGGTTTATTGCACAGCTACAGCTGTGGCAGGATGGAAGTATCATGGCTCAGTATCTATTCTTCTTCTTGGTGTACCAGGGACTGCGTTCTCCTTGGTGTGGCAAACCCCTCCAGATCATGTTTATTAATACTGATTTTTATGTGTTTTTTGTTTTAGCACTGCAGAGTAGGGTTTTCTTTCCTTGCAAAAAAAAAAAAAAGAGGAAATGGCTGTGAAAGAGCAGGAAGTTCAGCTTCAGCCCCTTCCTATTTTGGTCTTGAAAGTATGTGGCGTGGCTGGGTTGATCTTAGAAAAAGTGGGGTCCAAGTAACTTTTTTGCTTAATCCTTTTGACTCTGCTCAGCAGAATGGTGATGCTAAATAGAAGTCATTTTCTCTCCTAGCAGGAAGGAAGAAAGAAGACGTGGTTAAACGCTTTCGGACGAGGCAGTTGAGGTTTTAACTTAATAGCTCTAGCAATCAGAAAGGGTTGTTATAGAGAAGCAAACTTTCATTGCGCAAGATCAGCAATGTAAAAATCCATTGGCTTAAATTGCTACTGCCTGGGTCAAACTAAAAGCCTGAAAGTAGGGTGGTATAAACATTATTATACCTGTTATTCCTTAGCTGATCAACCTCTGCAGCTTTTGCTGCTGCATGTACCATTGGGGGAAAATCCAGGGCCTCCCAAGCTGCTGCCTTGACATGGTATTTATTTTTTTCTGGCTGCTCAAAGTGGGCACTCTCATTTGGAGACTGCTGCATGCTCTGATTAGAAGGCGGTTTTGTTCACAGTGCACAGTGCAGAGCTGAAGTCAGAAGGCTTCCCCCCCCCCCCCCCCCCCCCTCCCTCCCCCCCGCTCCTCGCGGGGGGCCTTCCTGCTTTATTTTTCTTTCTTTTCTATTAATGTTCAGGAACAAGGCAAGCTCCTGAGCTTGCTCACTTTGCTCCCTGAAAAACAAAGTATTGAAGCCAGTGGCTGGAAGCTATTTTGAAAGTGGGGAAGGGGGAAGCAATTCCCCAGTGCTTCTCTGGGGAGTGGGCAAATGCACACTTGGCATGAACCGGTAAGAGAATAAACCCTCGTTAAACCCCCTGTGACTAGCTAAAAGGCCACCTAAAGCAGAACACTGTGGGCAATTCCTGTGCCTCCTCCCCACTGCAGTTGGATATAACTCAAATTACTCCTACTAGCCAAGGCTGTGGAACGGTTTCCTCCACCGGGTTTAAAAACTGCTGTGGGCACACCAGAGTAGCGGAGTGCCAGCGTGGCAACGTTTACCATGTTGTGGCAACACAGGCCCAGAGATAACATGGTCTGCTCTTGCTTGGGTGCATAATTTGGGCTATAATCTGTTGTTTGAATCTCTCTTTGCAAGCAAGGGTGTGAACTGTTTTTTTCTCAGGCTGCTTCAAAAATAATAAACAGTGAGCCCACTCCTGCTTGGGAGACTGCTTGGAAAGGGGGCGGGCAGGAAACCAAAGCAAAGCTTTCGGAGCAGGGAGTGCTAACCTCCCACTGGGGCTAGCAGGATCGCAAACAGTTTGTTCCTTGCCAGTCCCAGCGCCTTCTTGCTGGTGTTGCTTTGCCCCTGGAGAGCTTTCCAGGCTGAGACAGCTCCCAGCAAAGCCTGGGAGACCCATGTTGTGGTAAGGGGGCCCTCCTTGCCCTCAGCAGCAAAACTTGCTGCAGAGCTGGGGCTGGCTGAGGGCTCTGCTGCTCTGTCCTTCCCCCCCCGCCCCAGCTCTTTTTGTGGTTGAAAGAGCTGTTTCTTTGTACCCGAAACCTGGCTCTGCTGCCAGTTGTCTGGAGGGAGTACCTGCCCCGCAGATGTTCAGAAGAGACCACAGTCCTTGAGGTTCTCTTTGATGATGACGTCTGTGACTGCGTCGAACACGAATTTGACGTTCTGCGTGTCTGTGGCACAGGTCATGTGGCTGTAGATTTCTTTCACGTCTTTTCGCATGTTCAGATCAAGGAATTGGGTCTTGATGTAATTTCCTGCATCTTCGAATGTGTTGGGACCTGTGGAGGGAGGGAAATGATTTGGCTGGTAAGATGCTCTGCTTAGGCGGAGTACCCTGCCCCCAGTCTCTCAAAGCTGGGGTACCTGAGCCCCTCTTAAATGCTTGCTTTTATGGGTTAAATCCCTGAAATCTGCCTCAGGAGGAGGAGGAAGGCTGGGAATTGCAGGTACTGAAACACTCGGCTCAAAGGCAGAGACCAGCTAGGGGAAAAAGGCATTTTATCCTGCCTTCAATCCTTCCAAACAGCTTCCAGATGCTGCAGTTAACATGCATCTTCTCCTCCTCTCCCATCTCTAGAGACTTAATTTGATCCTAGCATAATCGGAGCCCGAGACGCCACGTCTGCCTGTTGGCTCCACGTGGCTCCCCGGCGCTTACTGCCAGACTGGAGGTGGCGAAGCACCTTTGATTTCTGGGGGTCGCAGGGAGGAGGTTTCAGCATCTCTGCAGTCACCCCCCAGGCAGAGAGGAGAGGGGAACAAACTGACTCACCGTCGTACTCTGGGAAGCAAATGCTGAGGTGGACTTTCTTGATCTTTTCCTCGAAGAGGTCCTTCTTGTTGAGGAACAGGATAATGGATGTGGCGGCGAAGAACTTGTGGTTGCATATGCTGTTGAAGAGGTGCAGGGACTCGTGCATGCGGTTCTGCAAGCAAACGGACTCGTTGGCACAAAGCCTTCGCCTTCATTTGCTAACAGCTTTTGGCAGGTGCTGCCTGAAGCACGCCTGAACAGCATCTCCCTAGGCCCAAACCTCCTGTTGCCGAGGCAGAGGTTGGCTCACAGCCAGCTCGTCCCGTGCCACCGCCAACGGCGTGTGCTGTTCGCTGTAAACCAAGCGGGCACCGGCAGCAGGAGGCGAGAGCAGTGCTCTGCCACGCTCCTGTTCGACACAGCAGCAAAACCGTTGCGGACCGAAAGCCGCTCTGCTTTCTGTCCTCTGCCTGCAGCCCGGGTCTCCTGAGAGGCTAGCATCGCTCGCTTAAGTGAAAAGCCCCAAAGCTCCCTGTTCAAAGGTGTAAAAGCCCCAGATAAACTCCAGTTGGGCTCGAGACAGTGGGCGATGCTAAAGCTGTTAAGCACCTCTAGGCAGCATGGCGCTCTGATCCCCCCCCGTGCCTTCTAGGCTGCTCAGAAATGAAGGCTTAAGTTGATCTTGCTGGGGAAAATATCTGTAGAAACAGCCCATGTTAAGGAAACCTCGTGGCCTCATGTCACAGCTGCTGGGAGATGGTCAGCGAGCGCTTTGAGTTCCTGGCCATACGGGCCGCATCCTGCTGTGGTGCTGCAGGCTTTCCCTTATGGACCATAGGCCTCTGGCATGATGGCAGCTTTGGAAGGGAGTGAGGAAAAGCAATGCTGTGTCTTACGCCAGATGTGCAGTTTCTAATTTGCTACGAGGGAATCCTTGGGAGGAAGAGGCTCCATCCCAGCTGGAAGCTGTAGCCTGACCCAGGGATTTTGCACCCCTCCTGGCAGAGGACCTGCAGGAGCTGGCAGGCTGCGGGGGAGCAGGCGCTCTCCAGGGATGCTCACGCCTTCACCTCTGCCTGGTGGCTGCCTGCCGCGTGCTTTGGAGGTGATGGGGACGTGCTCCGTCCTTCCTCTCCTGTTCCCCTTACGCCTGCTGCCGCTCTGCGGAGAGGTCTCAGGGCGTGTTTGTTCTGCTTTCCGGCTCTCTGCTCTTTAAGCCGCTCTCCCTGCCTCGCGCGCGTTGCTGGGCGAGCCTTCCACGTGAGCGCTCCCTCCGCGAGGCTCCGGGGGGGAGCGGGGGCTTCGCTCGGGGCATCGCGTGCTCGGCACGCCTGACGCGCTGCGCTGCCCTTCCCCGCGCTGCCGTTTGCC